GTAAAAACGACTTTTTAATTTCTAGATTAGATAATTTCTAGGGAGAAATGTTTGTAAAAGATTGGCTTCGCGTTAGATTCTAGAGCTAAAAGTTTTCAACAAGGTCGTTTTAGACCTCAGTTTCAAACTAATTAACTCTGCCGGGAATTATGTAAGGATCCTAAGTTTTGCTAACGTTTATTTTATTTTAAATCTTTACTATCACTTCTTATTTTCTACTTCCGGCCAGAATTAAAAGCTTTAACTAATTTATGCAAATTTGTCTTGCTAACGCCAAGTACTTAAGTTGTGGCTTTTTGCCAAGCAAGAGAGAGGAAGGAGATATTAGAAGCAGGCCGCTTGCCATAGTAGTTTTACTCGGTTGCTGGTTGCCTTCAAGGCCAGAGGTTTAGTCCTCTTGATAATCTCAAACGTATCGTAGTTTTAGCAGCTCTCTGTAATACATACGGATTTTGTTAAATAACGGCCAATCTTAAAGTTAGGCACTTGTATATTAATCCAAAGTTAGTTTTAGTTATAGTTTTAGTTAGTAGTTTTATATTCTTACGTTCAGACTACAAGTGGTTGGTCTCTGTATTCCGAAGTTCCGGAAATCTCTGTAAAGATAGAAAAATAAAGGGTTTCGTATACCCTTCCTGTGTGTATTGTCTACTTCACGATTTATTGAACATAGCTTGAGTAAGCTCCCTGTTCCGAGTCAGGACAGTTCATGTTTCCAAAGCAAGTAAAGAGGAACACAAGTCCTGATAAGTCTACTCTCACCCTTCAGTGTTACCTGAAAGCTATGATACGAGCTATCGCTTGCCGCTTAACTTAGCAAACTCAAAAACTTTTAACTTCATTCTAGCTCACCATTTGTGAGTGTTGAATTTAAATAATACAAAACAAAATTTAAGTATCCCTGACTTCGCAAAGAACGGCTGTAACATACAATTCACTTTGATGCAATATACGAATTTTCTGTCAAGACCACAACACTTTGGGTCGAACAACTTATGTTCTACCACTTGGGGTAATAAATGGTAATTTATTTTACCATAAAAGCGACATTCTCTGAATACGAGGCACGCTCGGCAAGTATTTACACAGTCAAATAACTATTCATTGCAATTCATACGATTACGATATATACTAAAACGCTTGCCAGTGAAATTTGGACAAATTTCTGGACTGAGTAAGTACATGACGAAATGAGGCATAAAAGAAAGACGCTAATCAAAGTTTTTAACTGTTACGTAAATAAAATGTTATAGTATTTCCGATGTTGGACTTTGGACCATTCTCTCTATAATCCTAATCTGGCGCAAAATCATCTTTCGCATCTTTTTTCAGTTCTTGTTCACGGGGGCCCCTGTTTTTTGAACTTACATGAATGTTCGACTAAAGGTAATATGGTGGATGTAATATTTTAGAAAATGGGCACTAACAAATTTATTCCGTACATAGACAAACGCTATGGTCATTCATCATAATGATTACACAGGAAACTTCGATTCTCAGAAGTTATTTGGACATAATAAAATCAAAATTCATTCGAAAGTGGCATGATGTAAAATGTGTTATATGTAAATATATTTTACTTTTGAAAGCATAAATTTATAAAAATAAGCATGGAATGCTGTATGGAATTTAAATAATTAATTTAAATGAGTTGATTTATAAAAATTTCAATGTGATTATTTTTTAACCACTGTTTCTACAACGATAGCATTTATTACATTTTATTTCTTTTCTTTTTGTAGTTATGGCATAGTTCTTCTATAAATGAAAAAAATAAATATACTTCATCTTTTATTTGCTTCTGTTTCAATAAAAAATGCTTCCAGATTTCAAAAAGTTACAAACATATAAATGACTATGAGGAAGAACGAAATCATTTAACAATAGAAGCAAAGAAAAGAAGTAAGTAAACAACAGAAGTAAGGAAAAGATTCTTGTGATATAACGAATCTTTTATTTTGTATATCAAAATATTTTGATTATTGAAAGGATGAATGAACGGTCAGAAACTTGTAAATTGTCAATTCAATAAAATAAAGAAAACACTTTTTTTTGCCTTTCTCTTAACAGGACAATGCATCTTCCCTCAATTATGAATCAAAGAAATGTTTTCGTGATTATCTGTAGACAGAATATTGATTGCAACTACTACAGCATTCAAAGACATTGTTTGATTCTGAGAAATATCTTTCGGTATGAGTATAATGGAGATTCTTGCTACATGCTTGGCATATCACAAAGACACTGGGAAATGCTTAACAATGTTGTTGTACGAAACTATCATTTCTAATTTAACACGAAATTCGTCAAACTAAGAGTCATATGAGTTTAAGTGCATCATTAGCTAACCTCTGATGCAGTTAAAGATATCACTAACTTATTTGCGCCTTATCTCTTATCGCTACTTAATTAGAATTAGAAAGAAGTTCATGGGTATTTTAAATAAATCAGATTAGAAATATTTTATAATTAGGCTAATCACTCTTCATAACTCAACTTGATGTCTCACTCAATTAAATCACTCTTGATAACTCATAACTGAAGATTTCTTTATTTACACAGCTCTGGACATTATTATAGTTGTGACCTTTACGTCTCGAGGAAAGTGAAGACAAAGAAACCCCTACAATAGTTTAATAATACTTAGCCAAAAACGCATGTAAAATCAAACTGAAATTAGTATTTGCAAAGACACGGGAATTTTGGAGGGCGAGTTTTTAAATACCCGTGGGCATTCGTACCCGGATTTAAATTTCTATTCAGCTCATGATGGAATGATATGCCCAAACTATTACTCTATAAAAGTCGTATGTGGTGTAATTTCATACTCTGATAGAGATTTAACATTGTCATAATCTTTAATAATTTACATTCTTTCTAAATAATGAATAGTATGGAGGCAAACCGCCTTCGATCCATTCAAGATTATGACGAATTATTATTTACTTCATTCTTTGTAGACTGAAGATTTCAGAAAATGTCAGGCTGAAATTAATGTTAAGACATGAACCTTAAAAGAAGTTCAGATATATATATACTTACTTCATATTTAAAATCGAAGTATGTTTCCCACGAAGAGGGCCATTTAAAACGATATGCAAATTCAGAACAGAAACAATCTGCAGCGCAATCCAACCGGTATAGCGGTTAGCGTCGCTGAATGCCCTGCCGAAGGACCCGAGTTCGAATCGCGGAGAAGTCATAACGTTTTTGTATGTATAGTGTTGTAAATGTTTGTAAATGTATAGTGTTGGTGTAGTATGGCGGCACTCTAAATATGCCGCGAGCCGAAAGTCCTCTCGTGTGGTTTGATGGAAGGGAAGAGGAGTGGGAGACCCTCGGACCCGTCCCCCGGTTATTAATATTACATCTAATTTGCAACTACCAATTTTTTTGTACTATGTTTAATTATTGGGTTCATAGCTTCCTTGCGCATATTTGTGTCTATGTAATCAATAGCATATCTGTTGTATTTTAAGGAATTTATAGTAAGATTTTTCCCCTATATTTTTTGTTTTAAAGAAAGGAGATGTTATCATCTACAAGTACTATAAAGAAAATAGATGTTATCCTCTACAAGTACTATAGGCAAATTTATTATTCTTCATTCAACAATTATGTAACTTTGAATGTATGTAGCTATAGTTCTATAAGTGCATTTACTTTGGTCATTTGAGTATACTCATTTTAATCCTGTTGTAACTATTTGTATATATAAAAGTGTGAATCTGGTAGTTAATTCAGAACGGGATCTATTAACCTTGTGCAAATGTATTTTGTATTTAATTAGTTATGTGCTCTGTTAACCCTTTGCAAAATAACCTCTTGAAACTGTTCAGTAAAATTAATCTTTAGTATTTCCCAGCAAATAGGAAATTTGACTGCTAAGCTATGTAAGTCATAACAAATAGCTGTATTTAACATCCTAGAATCGAAAATGTATAGTATTATATGAAAACAATCTATTTAAAGATGTATATGTCGCACTGTAACCTTTTTGAGAATTGTTAAAAATGCCATCCTGCCTGCTAGCTGTAACCACAGATAACAGGTATTAGATGGCATCTGCCAACATGATAATTAGACCGAGAGACTCGTTAAGTCCTTGGGTGGGTGGTCGGCGGAAATGAGCTAAATCGCTCTGTCACCTGTATGGGGCTCAAGGCTGTATCTTGCTCTTCCTGCCACGAGGAATTTCATGGGCTTGGGCTGATGTTCCTCTTAGACAAGCAAGCATAAGTAACAACAACGATTTGAAGATGGCATGGCATTGATTTAACCTTTTGAAGACGGGATGGCCATTATAGTGGCCACAGAGTCCTCTCTTTGAAAAACGGGGTTGTCCACTTTAGTGGGCATGTCTTTTTCCCCCATTTTCCAGGCTGAAAATTGAGGTGAAATGTCAAATTTGACGTCTCTGGGATTTTAACCACTTATCACTTTCAAAGGTCTTCCTTTTGCGACATAGATGCACCCCTCTGAGAATCCATTAAACTACACACAAGAATCCTTGTTGCAAATAGGAGGTGATTTCTTAAAGGGGAGAAAGCATTCGGTTCAAAATTCCCCGTCCTTTGGTAGCTTTTATTGCTACCAAAGCCCCGGCCTCAAAAGGTTAAAATTTAATGAAATGATAGAAATTTTAGGGGATACTGTTTATAAAGCAGTGATTGCTTACTTATGACACACGAATCTATTTCGTATGACACGCATTACGCACTTCAGAACCGCCGAACGAGACAAAAATTTACATAACAGAAAAATATTTGTTTCTTGTCAACGGTCTCATCATTGTCATTATATGCTACGCTTGCCTCGGATGCGTTCGAGTACATTCTTGGCAGACAGACGATACAGATGGCAGACGGATGATTCTATATGTGATACGTCGCCAAAATTAGGGTTTTCCAAGTTTTAACATGCTCAACTCAAAAGGTTCACCATTAATGTTGTAAGGTATACAATAATTAAAAGAACAATAATTTCAGTAACACATTCACTTATCTTCCATTTCAAAGAATAAACAGGAAAATGCGAATGAATGAGCCGAAGGTTATTTCTTGTTACATTCGATTTAAAAAAGGAAATATTTTTACTAAATGCAGAAAGAAAATTTCTGGAATTGTCAGACTGAGTTCAGAAGTAGTGTAAGAAATACATCTGAACGTATATTTAAAAAAAAATCTAATTTGTGCTCAGTTATTATCTTCGGCTACAATTCTTTGAATCCATGGCATATAAGAAGAGACTCGAGTGTAGACGCCTGGATATTCTGCAACACCACACAAGAAGCCAAACGAGACAATTCCTACATGTATCCACCTTGAATCTATTTCGATCATTAGAGGACCTCCGGAATCCCCCTAAAATTGAAATAAGATATTTAAGTATTCAAGAAATTGGTAATAAAGTGAACAACAAATATCGACTTTGATCAGTTTCCGTTAACTTCAAGTAACAAGAGATAGATACGTGTCTAGAATTTATCAATGGAAGTGATTATCATCATTAAAGAATCTGCTGACCTTGCATTGTTCTTGAAATTCCTCGCTTACTGTGAAATTTTCGACAATGATGTCATAGATAACAAAATTTATCGAAACTTACGGGACTTCTCTTTTAACGACTTACCATATTTTTCAATTTATAAATGGATATTTTAAGATAATATAAGTCGGTATTTTACTTCCCAAAAAGTTTAACTTACATATCACATATAAAAGCTACTTCTATTTGTATTTACTAATGAAATATACGTACATTATATATAATGAATACAATTAATTAAATTTATTATTCTAAATGAAAGGAAAATATTTTTGCTTTCAAAAAATTAAAAAATAGCGTCTGCAGATTTTATTAAAGAAAAAAATAACTCTGGTTTTTGTAGATCATGTTCACAAAATTTCTTATCCAGATTTTATTTTCACAAGCATTGGTCACAAACATACATACTCCCATTTACAAAAATGTTTCATGATGCAAAGATTGGCATTTTTAAATTTAAAAAAACCAATTTTTAAAAATTTCTTTAATTTAATCGTTTTATACTCTCTTACGGTCCCTGTAATTATATTTGTGATAATTTTGTCTCATTATATGAAATAAAACACAAAAAATGGGACATCTGTACGACAAAAAAAAAATTAATCGAGATATTTGGTACTAAAGTCGGAGATCTTATTTCGGGACCGTACACAAATTGGGGAGCGAATGTTTCCATGCATACGTGAATTAAATTAAAATATCAGTTTAGAGAAAAAAGGTTCTGATGCTGAGAAATTAAATGGCGAACATTCTTTTTCAAATTATTATGAAAATACTGATCACTACACATTTTGTGAAGATCAAAGAACCTACAGAATTCGTGTTTTCGAAAATGTTTGTGGGGTTCAGTGTAATATTGTATGCAATAATAAAAAAAAAGTCGGAAAGCTTTCAGATTTTATATTACGCCCAAAGGGTCGTTTGCTTAACGTTTTGTGTGTTGCCTTTATTTGTTAAATGTCATGTTCTTTGCATTTAAACCATCAGCAATAGAACAAAATATTTAAAAAGAGCATATGTTTAGAAATTTCGCTACAGAGTCTCGCGCGCTGGAGATATTTTATTCCCTTACGGTGCTGTCATTGCTCACTTTGAAATCTTTCAGTTTGGTAATTAAAAATTCGTTAAAATTTTACAAAATATGAAATAGATAATAAAACAAATTCTAAATTTGGACTCCCAGATGCCCGTATTCGAGTGAAGGATTACACGTTATTCAATATTTGATGTCTCTATGTACAGTTGGGTTTTCACAGTGCGAAAAACATACACACATTCATGTAGACGTTTCATTATTTAATTTCTTTAAATATAATACAAGGTTCTAATATTAGGTGGCACAGATTTGAAAAGTGACACGCCGTTCTATAGTGGATGACGCAAAATGAAAAAAAAAAAAAATTAATAGCCTTTCTGGGCAAATTGCCCCTTTAGGCTAAAAAATATTTGTAGTATAATGGATTTTCGTACGATTACCAAGTTATGATTCTAAAGTAATAAAACTTCGTGAGAATATTAATAACGCATTTTTAAACTTTAATCACTTACAAATTAGTCGCGTGAAAAGTCTTTTCGGCATATCAAATATAGCAAAATTATTTTTATTCAGTTCAGGTAGCTAAAATCTGATCAATTTATTACTAAATTCTCAATAATAGCACAAACGACACTATCCAGGACAGTTACAGAAACAAGAGCTGTTACGAGGATTTTCATGGACGTATTTTAATGATACAGTGTACGGTACAGTATACTCTGCATTAATATACTACATTATAATATGTATTATAAACTAAGCTAAATATTGCATATAATTCTGTATTATATACACATTCAATTATATATGTATACTACTGTACATTTAATATCTCTTATATAATGCATTCAGTCCTACTAGCGCCGAGCGATAAAAGCCGCTGAACACTGATAGTTCGGTCTGGGATTAGCCCGGACTCGATCCCGAGAGAATGCCCTGCCTGATGTTTTTTTTTTTTTTTTTTTTTTTTTTTTTTTTTTTTTTTTTTTTTTTTACAATTTACTATCCCTAGAAAAGTCCTGCATGAAAGCGTACCTCCCTTTAGGCAAGCGCTATTTCTTATATGTATCGGTATATCAAAATAAACAAATCTAAACTGTCGTTGATTTATCCCCTGATTACAATCCCTTACACACAAGTGCAGATTTAATCTCATTTGCCCATTTAAAAGTCAACCAAGTAAAACAAGAATGTATGACATCGATTGTTTTCCTTTTGACAATAACTTTCCTACATTTAGGCGACTTTGGAATTTAAACCGATGGAAAATTAAGTCTTCTTAAAGAAGACGCTTAGTTATTTCCTCAGATAAGTAGTATAAAGAGAATTTGCCAACTTCAAGCGATAAAGAAGTCTATAATTGTCAAAAATTAAATTTTCTCAGAAAAGCACGCCGAGCTACTCTCTAAGCTAAGCCGTATTGTTTGCGAGATTTGGCCTGCTTGTCGTTATGTAAACAGGCGCATTTGCATAACAGCCAGAATTTTGCGTCTCTGATTTAATATTTGTTTTGTAAGTAATTGAATATACTTACATTATCAGCCCACAAGAAGAGGATGTTTGGGTTTTGTAACTTTAAGTCGAAATACAAGTAAATATTTAAATTACTCTGACTCTTGCTGAATCACTTTATGTTATTTGATTCTACGTTAAATAAGGGGCGAGAATTTGTCTGGAAGTCTAGGAAAGTTATCGCAGTGTTTAAATCGCAGTGTTTAAATTAATGCAATGTATTGAAGTCTGAATATATTGGGTACAGAGCGCTGTTCGCAATTTATAAGGTATACTTATCTCAAAGTTCAATGTAATATTCTTCTTCAAAGTTCCTAAGAGAGTGACTAGTTTTCTGCTTAGCAGGGAGAAGTAAACCGGGTTTTTTCGCAGCGTTTTTTTTTTTTTTTTTTCCTACAGGATCAAGCATCTGTTATTAAAAAACGTCATTCAGGGAAATTCCATTATTACTGGAAATTTCAATCGAGAAAGGTGAATCAAGAACACCCGCTAAGCAAATCAACCGTGTCATATCAGTTAAAACTTTGCTAAAGCAAACAGAGTGGAAAAACATGACGGAGACCTTGTTCATTTCATATATGGACAGATATCAACTTTAAGACTAATTAAAACCGAATGCGCAGTTAAATGTATTATCCGTTCATATACTTATCAAAGAAAGCAAAGTGATTATCTCATCTGTGGAGATGTTACGGCACATAATTAGCCTTAAGTTTTCAACACGGATAAGGCAGATATTTTGCTGGTTTCTGGCTCTGGTAGACTATGATTTAAAACATTTATAATTTACATTTACAGTATGAACAAAGTACTACAATAAGACAAGTTATAGTTATTGGAACATGGTAAAGCACAGATAAGCTATCTGCCTCGGGGGAATGGATGCTTCCGTGGTAGACTTCCTAAAGGAAACTGGATCGTATTCACACTATACATGGGAAGGACAACGAAAATCAACCATGCAGTCAGCCCATTCGTGTAGATCGAGCCTGAGTCGAATGCTTAGTATTCATACTAGGTTTAATCCACTCGACCACTGGAGGCTACAGTGAAACAGAGTATTGTTTAAAAGAGCATACTCAATGCATGATCAAAGGATTTAATATAAGGTTAAAATAAAACTTCCTAAACAGCCTTACACATTTGAAGGCTGGTGACACAGCCTATTAATGCTTCTGAAACATAGTCTAGTAATTTTTCACTTATCTGCGATAATAAGATCCTCATTATAGTCTAAGCCGCAAGACTCAGATAGAGGACTCAAAAACTGGGATTTCGAATTTCTATTACGACAAACGAGATCTACTTGCCTAAGGAGAGGAATAACTTTGAGGAGGACCTTCTTTAAGGAAAACTCGCTCTTATTCAGTATAATACATTGGATCTGCGACTTATAAATGTCATACATCTATCGTTATACTATCTGTCATACTATCATTATGAGAGTCAATCAGAATCAAAGTTTTCAGTTTAGGATACGAATGCATACTGTGATATTATTGAGGCAACCTTTGGCTTTTCAACATGCCGTTCTTTGCATTGTATTTGCTAGGTGACTGTTACGCTGTTTAATGTGCCGAATATGTGGCATCCACGATAATGTATTGTCAAATGTTATGTCAAAAGATTTAACTTGAACCACACATTTGATGGGAAAGCCAGACCTCTTGAAGCTAACGTTTTATTCCGCTTTAACGTTTTAGCTAACGTTTTATTCCGGGCTATAGCTGTAGGATTCCTCATAGTATAATGCTGAGTTACTATTGGAAGTGAAGAATCTTAAGAACTGATAAGCGAATAATTGCTTGAGTTCGTGTGACAGGAAACAACAAGATAGAAGGGTAAACTAGCTCTTTATTATTCCAACTAAAAATTAACAAAACTTCGTCTTGGAGTGTACAATAAAGCCGACACTTGGGCTTTGAACTTAAGAGACTAAGAATAATACTAAACTAATCTAATCTAAAGAGGTATAGTCGAAGCTATCAAAAATTCTAATAGAATTGGCCCCTAAGCGTTAATAGACTGCCAAGCTATCAAACGCCTAAAGTACGGCCGAGTGTAATAGCTTAGAAGAGAGTAGTTTAATAGAGGCGGACTCATGCAGCCAGAATATCTCGTATCTCTCTCACTAAGACCGAAGAACTTCTCGGTTAAATACCGCTCTTCCTCATTATGTTTTCAGACGTGATTCTAAAACTACATTCTGGCCGGAAGTAGTAAATTGAAGCTAAGAATCGACAGAAAAGGAACTTAAAATTTAACTGTTAATAAAATTAACATAATCCTTACATAGTCAAGCTTGTGGCTTGACTATGTAAGGATTATGTTAATCTTGTCAAGAGGGCGCGATGCGTGCTGCGCTGGCAAGTTAAGCGGCAATAGTTTCCCTTCTCTTTTTTCTGTTTAGAAGCCCACCAGCAGGCGAGCGGTAAAGTCGCTGAACACTGGTAGTTCGGTCCGAAGTTCGAATCCCGCAAACGGGCTGGCTGCATGGGTGGTTTCGTGGTTTTTCCCATGTGTAACGTGTATACGAGCCAGTTCCCCTTAGAAAGTCCTCCACGAAGGCATCCCTCCCCTTAAGCAGATAGCCCTCGAGGCTTTGCCGTAATTAAATAACCTAACCTAACCTTTGGGGAAGTGTTACCGATCAGCAACCGCAACTTCTCGTTTGTAAGCAAGTATGTATTTGTTTAAGGTGTTTTCATGTGTAATTTCTTGTATATATGTATATTTTGACGCTTAACTAATTTAGTTATCAGCGTTTATTTTTAATTGATTGTATATTTTTATGTGAACTTGACAAGCGTCAGACTTGCTTTGATCGCTTATTATTTTAGTGCTTAACATGTTTTATGAAATTCCATTCTTTCTTGTTTAACGCGAAACTTTTAAAGTTTTGAGTGATTTTTTTAATTGATTGCGTATTTTAATTGATTGTACATAGTCAAGCTTGGGTTTTAGTATTTCAGATCTGATGCTTTTGCTGCCTAGTCCAGCCAGAGAAAGTGTCAAATCGCATTTGCGCATGCAATGCGCATTTGCGATAGCCACAACCAGGAGGAAGTCGTCTGCAAAGCCAATGAATTTAAGATTTTCCTCTCCTTTATAGAGTTGGAATACTCTGTTGGCAATAAAGATCCAAAGTATGTTCCATAAAGCATGACACTTCTGGGCATCCGCTTACGACGTCTTTGTTCAATTCAGTGCCACTTAATGTGATTTGGACCATTCTTCCCTGAAGGTAATTTCGAAATAAGTCAGCAATTGAACCCGCTCAGGCAATTGTTGCAAGAGTTATACTCAACATCTGAGTACTACAGCAAGTCAGAGGTTCTCTGTATATTCAAATAAATAACCACTAAACGAAAATCTGCTTTGTTGGCTGTTAGTGTATTCTTTTATAGCATGAATATTTTGTTCTAAAGCTAAACTGTAAAGGACTAATGGTTCTAATCAAGTGTAGATGGTGACTGATTCTAGAGAGGATAACTTTTCTCAGGACCTTTCCAAAAGCAAAGGAGAGATATATCGGTCAATCGGAGCTTTTCAGGTCAGTATCTTTACCTTTTACGAAACAATAAAGCTACTTCTGCACGTATTGTGACTTGAAGAAAATATCATGGTTTCCCACATGCCCAGTTGAAGGCAAACAGTAAGTATAGAAAAACCTGTTGCGTTATCTGTATGATTGCCTTATAGACATCATCTAGACCTGTGGCCTTTTTCAGTAAAAGAGCTTCATAAAATTAAATTTTCACTGAATCAAATCACTGGAATTAATTCACTGCCCTTCTGAAATGTCATATTTCAGAAGATGTCAGAGGGAACTGTGAGCCAGGTTTCCTCTCATGGTTGGGCTGTACAAACTTTCTTTGATGCTGTCTTTGCTGATCGTAAAAACCGGTTCCATCGTCACATTCGAAAATGAGTGGAACCAGTAGGCAGTGGAACACTTCGGCACAAGTGTTATCATTAGGAAACATGGATACATGGGATTTTTCAGTCCGAAATATCTTATTGATGCAATCCTAAATGCCGGCTTGTACAAGTAAGTTGTTTAAGAGAAGCTGTTGCGCCAGCAAGAGATTTTAGCTTTGTTAATCGATCTGTTATGTGCCGCTGTGGCATTCCTGAACTGTAAAATTCAAAATTATTTCAAACTGCAGCGTTCGAGAATGTTTGCTCTGTTATTGCTTGATATCTGCATCCATGGCATGGACCCTGCTCCTGTCTTACCACCAGTACTGGGGTCAACCAACTGGTACATTTGGCTGTTGCACGGTTTTTCATTGCTTGATATCTGCATCTGAGGGACGCACCCTGTTGTTGACTAACCACTAGTGCTGGGTCAACGAATTGGCACATTTGGCTCGCGTACGATTTTTATATGCCCCACTGCAGACACTAATAATATGTCCGGCGACACCTGTGTAAGTCTTGTTAAATTAGGAGCTACCTTAGCAGGTTGTTGAATATAATGGGCTGTGCGTTTGAAGACTGTTATAGGAACGTGTGCTACGTGAGCCAGAGTAGTTTTGAGGAAGAAAGCGGGTTATTATAAACAATGTAGCTAGATACTGAGCAAGTGGGAGGTATAGCTGTGGTTGGAAACAAGAATGAATGTCATAATATTTTTGGAGGTACCACTTCAATTTCAAGTTCTACCATAATTTGTAGGACACTGGTACTGACCTTTTGGGCATATTGCAGGTTGCAAGGCAAGAAACAGAGGTGAAGAGTCCTGCATTGTGGGTCATTAGAAGAAGGTATTTGGTCCTCGAAGGCATTCAAATAGTAAATCTTCCATCTGTGAACTGGAACTGTTAACCGATGATATCACAAAAGGTGCGCCGGAGAAACGTGTACAAAATATACCATACAAATATAAAAAATATCAACAATAAACCTGACGTCACATATACTAAAAATATGAAGATTAAAATTTATTGAAAACCTTACAGAATTTACGGTCTAAAATCAACTAATACTACAACAATCATCTGCGGTAAAGCATCTCATTATTGTTAACTAAAATGAACTGGACTGTTTGAAATAAGTTAGAGCAAGCAAAGGCTATCTGCGTAAGAACACGGATGCCTTCTCGGGTACTTTTAAGACAAACAGGGGAACACATGAGGTAGTCGTGAAACTTTCCATTTAGTTAAAACTTTCGCTGGGATTTTTAATCAGAGTCGACCTGCTAGTGATCAGTGATTTTACCGCTCGGTCACTGGTAAGGTTTAGATGAGATGCTTAAGTAAACTAAGTTAAAATAATTTATTAATTCAAATGATGTTCCATATAAATGAACAACTAATTTAAAATTCTTAAAGAATGCGAGGTAGTTTCTCTTTAGAAGTTCACCGCGAAAACATCCCTCGTTTAACAGGCAACGCTCGTGACTTGTCATAATTAAATCAACTAACCACAATTTTTTATTTAAATAGTAAAAGGAAATAGGATTATATTTACAGATATTTAGTAAACCCGTTCAAGTAACGCTCATACTTCCCCAAACTTTTGTGCCCTTTTATAAACTAATTTATATCTTCTAAATAATGTGGGAATTTCTCTCTTGGGAGGAGAGATGGAAGAATCGGTCAGAAGGCGTAACTGAATCTTTATCTATTAGATAAAGTAAAACAAAATCTTGCAAAATGACGACAAAATAAAAGATGTAAGTATTTTCTCTCGTATCATATTAGGTGAAGGTCATTAGAATTCGTCTGTGACAGCAGCATGTCGTCTGTGATGAAACAAGGCCATCCATGTTTCATCGGATATAGATGTTTTACATATGGTACTTATATTTTTATATACTGCCTATACTTGCGTGCTTCTTCTATGGGTCCTCTAATGATTGCAAACAAATATGGAGCTGTACTCAAACTTATATTACTATAGGATTCTGACACCAGTAACGAGTGTTTCGGTTCTCAAAGGTGGCAGTCGTGAAAGGCCAATAAAGTTAAGCCAATTAATTAAATAAAATAGTAAACGTATATTATATTTTAGGATGTAGGGCCCTAAACATTTCAGAGGCCTTGGGCCCTCACTTTGCAGCTCCGTTGTGTTATTGACGGTAATATTGCTAAGGAAATAGTTCAGTATACTGTTCAACTTTGCGTGTGAGGTTGGAAGAGGTACTGTAGAAGTCACCTAGCGCATGACTTCTACAGTACCTCTTCCTACAGCTTCGATGAATTTTTAGTTAAAGCCGTTGCAATAATTTGATTCACAGATGAATTTTCCATTAACATGCCACATTCAAAGAAGGAAGAAAATGGTGTTTATGCAGGTTTTGCATATTTGCATAAATTTCATTGCCAAAAAAAAAAAAAAAAAAAAAAAAAAACCATTAAGATTGCTTTCTCCCTGCGAAGAAATGCTTTATCTTTCCCCTTTCAAAATGTACTTGGCCAGTTGATCTACCTTTGACTCAAAGATTGGTAATTCCGTTTTCACAAATGGGAATCCCGATCCATTAGCAATGTCTTTACACAGCAAGGGTGAATACTTACATGACAAGCGTCCACGCCTCCATCAGGATGTCCAGCGCATATCATACTCGTGGTAATACCTTGAGACAGAGCTCGAGTTTTAAGGTTTTCATAAGCAAGTTTACAACGGCTGAGGGCCACAATTTGCAACGAGGCTTCTTTTAGAATGTTACTGCTTTCTCCCCCTAAAAAATGAAATTTTATTATGAGAAAATAAAATTAAGTACATTCATATCAATTATTTCGATTTTCGATCTGATAGATAGATAGTGCATCATTTATCCTAATCCAATTACTTTGGATAACGATAATCAGCTTTATATGCACAAAAATAATAAATATCTTAGTTCCATATGCATAGTTTCACCAAAGACGTTATTTTTTAATACAGTGGAATTAAAAAAGCTTTAGGATTTCCTTTTCAAAGTTATGTTTTGATTAAAACTGCAGATTTTAAAACTGGAAGCTCGGAGCGAAGCCTGTTAAAAAAGAGAGATCCTCTAATTTTTTCGTCTTAGTAAATCCACCATCGAAATAAAATACATTTCGTATTTCGTATTTTATGGAATATTCAATGTAGTCATTAGTTTTCATTCAAAAATATTCATATATTCATCGTTTCGTTTTCCGTTAGGTTATATGTTGAATAAAATATAAACAAGTATGCTTTGACCCAGAATTTGTTTTTTTTCTGAATGTAATTTAAAAGAAAAGAAAAACCCTAAAGCAGCGGTTCTCAACCTTTTGACTAATGCGTAGCATCTAAACAAAAACTGAAAACCTTTAGTATCACCGCTACAGAGTACTACTATCACCAACCCCTATGAACAAAGATCAGATCGCATAGATTTACGAGAGTTAGAGACAAAAACTAATGAGGATGTTGGGATTTTAATTTTTGAATTTAATAGTTCAAAATACTTTCCTTCTTTGCGTACCACCGGTTGAGAAACCCTGCACAAAGCATTCTTGTTAATTTTATTTGAAGAGATTATTATTTATTTTATTTTAACGAATATGAAGAGAAATGTAAAGATAATGAAGAAGTACAGATACAGAAAGCAAAACATAATTTCAACTTTCGGATTTTACGATGTAAGAGAGTTTTAACGCATGGATTTATCATTAGAAAAGAGTTCGAAGAGAAAATTGAAGACGAAATAACATGAGTAAACTAATTACTAAATTATACGGGTAAGCAGCTTAGTTACAGAGGGTGTTTACAAATTTATAGAACGATTTCGAGACCGTTTAATTAATTTTTAATATGTAAAGAGTATTTTTTTTTAATATTCGATCTAATAACCTTGTTCTTGGACCGTAAATATGCATTAGGATTTCCTAAATGGAATGATGTTTTGCAAAATGTCCAGGGGCATTGATTTCTATTTTTCTCTTCTACTACTTCAGAGTCCATCAATCGTGCTGTATTTACGTTTAGAAGAGCTCTTTTCAAAAGACCAGACGCACAATAGTCCATAGGTTTAAGCCCACGGAACTTTGCGGGAATACGTTGAAAAGGTATGTATACCTGTATCAGTCTTCATTTTTTCAATGAATGTAACTGTACTTTTCAAAGTATGACTTCTTTCTGTGTCCTGATGAAATTTCACTCTTTAAAAGTCATTGGGAAAATGAAATGGAATTTCTTCTGCAAACATGGGACATAAACATTCTCTTGATAGTATGCTGAGTTGATTTTAACATCCCCTCTTCTTCTTATTTTCAATTTCTTATGGTAAGAGAGTCCTGCGACAATCATAAACCCCTTACTGAAACTTTCATTGCACTGACGGAACTAGGTTTGTACATTTTTTTCTCTTTTTTTCGTTAATAACTTTTTTCTCTTTTTTGTTGCATTCATTTAGATAAACTCATGCTTCATCGAGAGTCACAATGTATTTCTATTTCTCTCGGGCTAAATAGTTTTCATAAAGGTATAAGGTATTTCTCCCGCCTTTTTAGACTGCCTTCGTGGTGTAGTGGTCAGCACGCTCGACGCAAACTCGAGAGGTCCGTGGTTCGAGTCCCGGCGAGGGTATTGCTCATTTTTCACATCTCCTGCTTCGAAATAACCTAATGCCTCTACAAGAGTTGTACAAATTTTCTGTGTTGAGGCACATATCTCGGCAAAAGCTGGTAAATTTTGTTTTTTAGTTTTTTAAGCTGTAAATGTTAGTTTATTATTTTACTTTTTATTGGCACAGATGTATTTTAAGACTTTGGAAATGATTTCTGCATCGGCGGATTTTTCTCTTGATACCAACGGTTTAACTTTAGAAACACTATAAACCGTACGTACCTATTTCGGGTATTCATTTGGAGATCTCGTTTCATGTATCAGTAATATTTGAAAGTTTTTTTCCCTTTTTGATTAATACTTTTGCTCATTTTTCACTTAAAAATTTTAATACCATGCATTTCACAACGTTTCTCAGTTATGGGATAGGAATATATATCTTCGGAAAGCACAAAAACGTATCCTTCAACCCCGCAGTTTATTAACATGCGACATTTTGAAAGAAATATGCATTTAAAAGTAACATACAACATTATTTATTTCAACTAATAAGCTGTTTCCAGAAATTTTTATTTCAAATTATTCGCATTTGTTTAATTTATTACTGAATTTGTTCTAAAAATGTGAAAACATCCTCTGTAGGTTTTAATGACATCACAGCTTTGCACAGTATTTGGACTATTCTGTGAAGGAATTTCCATGTGGTTGCTAACGAAAGGAATGCACTTTCCCTTATTGACATCTATAAAAATTATTTATATATATATAAATTAAACAATGTTTTAAATCGTATACTGATCGGATTGCGTGTTTTAATCAGTACAATATATACGTACTTCATGTGAAAGCTCTGGAAAAGCTTGATGTAACTACGGATTATTTATATTTACCTATATTTATCCTATGCACATCCATGCATTAATTAAAACTTTTAATAAAGAATCCAAAATCATATGTTGACTACTCAGCGTCATCAAAATATTTCACTTTAACAGAAAAATAGAAGTTTCAGAATATTATAAATTTACATTGACAGACATTTTATTATTATGTTATTTATTCATTATTTATTTATTAAATTTACTATTCTATATAAAACATTTTATTATTGGATTGTAGCAGATGAAACAGCCGTTGAATGGCGTCATATTTCCATTGGTTTTGGGAAAAAATGAGCATTGGAATTTATGCTAAATTTGATCGTATAAAACATCTGTGATGCAACTGTAGTATTTATTTCATTCAACGAGCACTGAACATTGTATATCACTGACAACAAGTTATCATAAAGCCCAGTTTATTAAGACTGCCAGATATATTTTAAACTGGAAAATTCTGTACCGGTTGTAGTAATAATATCGACAATGCATTTAGGGGAGGAATAACTAATGAGAGAATCGCTAGACTTTGATTTGCAATCTTTCGTTCAGGAGGTTTGAGATTGCAAAATGTAACGCGTAGACATCGTCTTTCCTTCGTTGATTCCAATGAACTAAAGAACTAAAACAACAAATTGTGCACTAGAAATTGCCCATACAATTAATACGCAATTTTTATTGTTTTACAGCATTTGGCATTTAAAGGAAAAATAAAAAGCTGTAAAAGTGGGTGCCTTACGAATTCACTGATGAAAATTAAGAACGGAGCTTAGAAGTGTGCCCTTGTCCCTTAAGAAAAAATAAAGAAGAAACTGGCCTTCAATGAATTATGACTGCAGATGAGAAGTGAATATTTTACGATGATGGTCATATGTTCGTCGACATGGCTGGGAGTGTAGGTATACCAGTAAAGACTTCAAAGATATCTTTGTATCTAAATAAGATGTTTACAGTATAGTTGTGCTATCTGTTGATATTATTCACTTTATTCACTTCTTATTACTCCCAAAAGACGAAATGATACATGCGCCTTGATATTCTTCAAATATGTGGAAAATAATTTTTTTAATAAAAGAAATTTTACCTAAGCAACCAGAAGAGCCATGCAGTCTTATGAATTTAGGATACTACCCACCCAGATACGGCAGTGTGTCTACCATACAGCAAATCAGTGCTTGCTCATCCTCCATACTATTTTGGCATTTCCTCAACAGGTTACGTATTTCTCCGGAAACTAAGCCATTTTTTATCCAAAAAATTATTTGCCAACTATAGATAAATTAATCGGGCAGTAGAAGCCTTCATCTCTTGTACAGATACTATTTTTTACTTCTTTGTAGGAAGTAAAGGAAGTTGCGAAAAATTTCGGGTATCGTATTTTAACGAAAATGTACATTTTGAACGATGTTTTTGCCTGACATCTGTACGTGCGGACAGAATAAAGAACTCGTTTTGCAAAACGGATTCTAAAAGGAATTTAAAATGAAGTCAGAAGATATTTTTTTCTTGGCTTCTGTACGTACTTACATATGTTTGTATCTAGCATAATTAACGAACAATTAAGCTCAGAACGTTGAAATTTTGTATATGGGGCTGCTATAACATGTAGTTGTGTACCTCCGTTTTTGTTTGCAATGAGCCGTAGCAATCGAATATAAATATACATATAACCCACTTCTGTTTTCAAAGGGATTGAGTTAAGTTGGTCCTATGTTCTGGTTAAGGATTTTATGCCTTTAGAGAATTTGCATGCAGTAGTTGTAGAATCATCAATAATTTAAACGGTGTTAAGTGCTACTCAGCCTAATGAAGCCCCCACTTGTTTACATTTGAAACTCTTAGTATAATAAGTGATTAAGTCAGTTTGTGCACCAACTTTAGTGTCTTCTTGCCAAATGGGACCGAAAGGAAGCTTTCAGTTTTGTGCACCGGAAAATCTGTCTTGATGCCCACTGGCAGAATTGCTTGTTTTTGCGCAGAAACTCTAATTTTAATTGTAAAAATTGTTTTTAACTGTTAACTGTATCTGTTGTTTCATGTTCTGTATTTTACAATTTTCAATGAAGATATTTTGAGATTTTAATGTATTTCTGCCTTGCCGCTAAGTTAGAACTGAATTAATCGAATGAGAAATATACCTGTAATGAAAATTCGAGGAAGTAAGTTTAATTGAAATGCAACAAAAAGTATGCATAATTTAATAGGTTGTACAAGGAAGTCATGTGGTATACACATCCGATTTTTACAAACGTCACACAAATGATTTTGACATACGTTCGCAAAAATTTACGAGTACTGCTACCAATTACGCTGAGTAAATAAGTATTCTTGTTCTTTTGTTTTCTTCATTTTTAATCCTCTTTAAAATCGGCCATTTTATTTCCAGCAACTTAATGATTTATACCAAAGTATATCCATTATAAATTTTATGCTGACAGTAATATTGCAATTTTCATACATTTTTTTACATTTATATAAACGGTACATAGAAGCTTTTGTGACATATAATAATATGAAAAGTTTATTTACCATAAGACGTATGTCCCCAGCCAGTTACTGTAACATTAGCCCGTGACGTAACTGCCGCCGTGTCTGACACATTGGGTAGGCAAATTGGCTGCACTCTTTCGCTGATTTCAATGTCTTCAGAGAGAGTTAAGATGGCTATATCATGGTAGTGAACTCTGGAAACGTAATGTTCATGTGTTTTTATATTTGAAACACTCACATGTCTCCCATAAAAAACATTTTTATCGTCTGTTTCAGGAATTCGGCTTTTCGATCCGAGCATGACAGTATAGTTGACCTTAATCCTGAAAAATAAATTGTAGTTATTGTTACACCACATAAATGCCTTTTATATCATTTTTCTAAATTATATCCAATTTGAAAATGCAGTTCGATCTTTTTAAGTGATAAACTGTTGATTTTTATTTCTACCAATCCTTTCACTGAATGTTTTCCTTCTTTATATAATCTGTTTATGTATAAATAAATTCAACAGCGTTACGGAAGCACTCTGGGGCAGGTTTAATCTGTCAGGATTAATATCTTCTGGTACCGAATTGGACTCGTCGGATGACAACTAGGAGTGGACTTTGGGGGTATTACAAGTCACAATCACGAGGCGCTCTATGTTCAGAGGGTCTCTGAATCAATAATTAATCTTTAAAGAAAAGACGTTTGCATACCCTATATCGTAAGTAGGGCCGCTAAAATTTCAGGTGAGTTGGGCTTCCGCTTTCTAAATCATTTAAGGCAAAGCGAGCTAGCCTGAGTAATTATCTTCATCCCACTCCTATTTAATTAAGACAACTATACACTTATACAGGGTGATCAGCGAATAAGCCCTGATTTCAAAATTAAATATCTCTACAACAAAAATCGATAGAATTATGCAGTAAACTGTACATTTATTAGAAAAACTGTAAAAATGGTGTACAGAAATTTAGAAAATTTAGTTACGAAAATCGTTAACAGATGGCGCTCTGCACTGAAAACTCTTTCTCTGAAAGGAGCCAAAAAATTAGTTAAAAATAAAGTGAAGCAGCCTTTGCAATCAAAATACAACTTTTTCAAAATGTTCACCGTTCGAAACAATGAGGTGGCGTAAACGAACAATGAAATTTGACATCACCTCTTGCAATGTCTGGACGGAAATGGAATCACATGCAACACCAATCAACGATTCAAGCTCATCTAGAGTAGTAGGATTATTTCGATAGACAGCGTCTCTCAATGCGCCCCACAGAAAGAAGTCACAAGGACTCAGATCGGGAGAATATGGAGGCGAAGCTATTCCTGTGTCAGTAAATTGAGGATAATCTAACGCAGTTACTCTATTCTCAAAGCATTCGTGAAGAAAGTGAAAAACTTTATTTATTCGATGTGGTCGAGCCCCATCTTGCAGGAACCACTCAATACCTGGTCGATCCTCCAACGCTAGTTGAGTGCTGACGAATTGTAACGTAACGTTCAGTAGTTATCGTTTCTCGTACGAAAAAGGGTCCGATAATGCCTCTGGCGCATACCGCAGCCCATGCCAGTAACTTTAGGCGAATGCAGTGCTTTTTCTTCACACAAATGAGGATTTTCGGTACCCCAAAATCTCCAGTTTTTTTTTTTTTTTTTTTTTATTAACGATTCCATTCAAATGAAAATGTGCCTCATCTGTGAACCAGATGCAGCTCACATCAAATCTGTCGTTGTCGACCATTGTTAGAATCTGATTCGCAAAGTCAACCCTTTGTTGCACAGCTTTCATGGGTATGGCCTGATGACTTTGGATTTTGTATGGAAACAGCGGTAGGCTATTTTTAAATATTTTTTGTGTGCTCGTGTACTTCAAACCTGTCTCTGATGCAATACGTCGGATGCTTTTTCTAGGATTTTGCTGAACAAATCCAGAAACTTTGGCAGGGGTGACTATAGTTTGCTTAGGCCCAACATTTCCCTTTCGATCATCAGTCACGCTGCCAGTCCATTCGAATTTCGCGAACAGCATGCGAATGGTTTTCGCATCGGGTCCAACTGGAACATTGAATCGGTTTCGAAAACTGCGAAGTGTTGCCGTAGGACTGTGTTCTAATTGGTGAAATTCCAGAACCAAAATACACGTCATTCGATGGAATACATTATTTCACTTTCTACGCTAGCCTCTTTTCACTAGCCAACAGTTGTACTGATCACTTTCGACTTCGAAGCACATTTTAAAGGCTATTGATAGGCCATTGCGATTGGAGCGCCATCTGTTAACTAATTTCATAACTAAATTTTATAAACTTTTGTACACCATTTTTACAGTTTTGCTAATAAACGTACAGTTTACCGCATAATTCTATCGATCTTTGTTGTAGAGATATTTAATTTTGAAATCAGGGCTTATTCGCTGATCACCCTGTATGTATTAGCGATAAAATAATACAATGAGAGCAATACAATGAGAAAAAAGCAATAAAATAATAAAATGAGAAATGTCCCGCCAACTTTGATCCGTTGTCAGTGAGGAGGCTTTCTAGACTAGCTAAGCATCAGAAGAGGATTCGACCTCCTTTAGCGATATCACCATCCTCAAGTCTTGACCACCTGCGCTGCCTACTCTAAGTACTATGAATCTATTCGAAACCCCCAGAGTCGAGACTGTACGAATAGAGATCTTTGTCAGTAGATCACATAACCTAAGAGTATGCTATTTGTAAAGCGACCGGATGTTTCGGATTGTGCGGGACAGTCTCCTTGTTCATTGCTATGTCCCATTTCTGGATAGGTCCCGGAAAATTTGTCATGCATTTTATTAACAGCTATTAAGTAGCTACTTATTTTAAAATTCTAATAACTGCTACATCTAGCGTTGTTTATCCATTTAATTTTAACTTTTGAATATTCTTCTTATTTTTTCAGCAGAAATTTAGTAGTTAAATCAAAAATACGAAATATAAAAATAAAAATATTCTTCATTTCTCCTTCAGCTCACAAATCATTATGCTAACGTGCGTTTACAACTTTTAACCCTTAAAAAACGCATGTCTACGATGATATCGTCATATGACGACTTGTAGGTGTATTTTTTACCACGATACTTTCGACGATTATGTTTTTAAACTGCGAAGTTTCTGAACCGCTTTATTTTCGATCACAATGGTTTGTACCATGATATGTTAGAATTGCGATGTTTTTTCTCGCTTTGTTTTCTCGTACGATGTTTTGTACTACGACGTTTTCGTCTTGCTTTGTTTTCTCCGCGGTATTTTCTTCCACGATGTTTAGCCACGATATTTTCAGCCTCATTAACATTACACATGAGGAAAACTAAGAATAACCCATTCAGCCAGCCAGTCCGTTCACTGAGATTTGAACTAGGGCTGAATGACCAGTATTTAGAAATGCTATGTTTTAGACTAGATGCCCTGTTTCCGATGTTTTAATGTTAGGAGTATCTTTAGAACGCTTTAGCGCGGTGCATCACTGAAAAATTCTGAAATGATATTCCTGTGAAAATGTAATTGATTTGGTTATTATTATTTAAAATTAAAACAAATTTAGTTAAAGATGAATGTAGGACAATACTTGTTAAACATTGGTAAAGTCTAATCAAGAGGTATCCCCATTCATCATCCACTGAACAGATCGATCTTGTATTTCTTAATCCAGATACAAGGATATTGTTGTAAGACGTTAAATACAAGATTATCGTATCATTTTACGCATAACAAAAAAAAATTGTATTAATAATATTAATCAATTTTTCTGATTCTTTTCTACATTATGAATAATTGTCATTGTATGAAAACAATTGTTCAGACTACCTATAATTAGATATGACGTGAAAGAATGAAGAATATTCCATACTTGCTGTTATCGTCAAAGCAATGAGCAGCTGTGAGAACATGTCGTCGACTGATGAGCGTTCCTCCACAAAGTAAACGACTGACGGTAGGCTTTTGCCACGAATGAATAGAAGCCTGTTAAAAAACGGGAGATAAATTTTTGAATTATGCAAAATAGAATAAACTAATTTTAGCGTTTAATTCTTCTTAAAATATAATATAAATAATACATTAATTAATAATCGAAATTCGCTTATATATCGTTCGATCAATTTGGTCTCAATCTTGGTAAACTCACCAATAGCCTCAACGAATTATTTCATCATTGAAGAAAAAATATTGGGCAATGAACAATCTATAATGAGTTATAGATAATAATAGTGCAATAAAAAATTCACAATGTAATAAATACAGTCCACAGTAGTAGTCCTCAAACTACATTCTGTGGAACCGAGTTGTATTTCCCGTCTTCTGGGGATCCCACGAGTCAAAACTAAAATTCGAAGTTATTTTTAAATGACTTATCATCTGCAAAAAGAAGCGTATAAAACAATTGATTAATTGATATTTTTTAACCTCTGTTATTACTGCTACCTAAAATAATATGCACTAGATCTGCTTTCAATGAAATAATGATTTCTGTTTTCATTTTTTACATTAAACGCATAGAATATTGATATATTTTGGTATGATCCATTGCTGATGAACCCATTACACCATTTTAAGATCCTATGTTTATCCAGTTACTCGCTCTTTGATAATGCCAAAAGTCTGAAATCATTTATTGAAATGGCTTGAACACATACGTCCGTCATACACACTTAAAAATTTATTTCTCGAAGATCCGGGTCCTTGACACAAGTTAGCTGAGCAGTAAATTAATCAAACAATCAATTATTTTATACGTGCTATGCCTATGATTAAGGCTCAATATATTCCTTTGACAGCTTAGTGTTGTCGTACCGAGCCCTGTTTCCCTAGATTGGATGCTTAATCGTCGAAATTATTTAATTTTCGTAACTCATATTAATTTTTTTTAATACCTCCTGACAGTAAACTTGCCAAACGTCTACGACACCATCCATTACTTTTCCTCGCCGCCCTTTTTCCGTTCTTCTTCTCACCATGAACCCTTTTTCGCCTCGTCAAACCAGTTCTGGTGTTGCCGCTTTTTATGCCAGGGCGCTAACTGGTCAGTAATACAACGCCAAGAAATATTCAAGGAGTCGCAAGACTTTCAATATAACATTTTCCATGCATTTTTAACTTTTATCATTCGTATGAAGGACGGGGCTCTATAAAATTATTATAGTTATATGGATTTTCAGAACTGGCAGAGTTCGAAGATTACTTCTCTGTAACGACGTGCAGAATCGTATTTGTTGGCCCGGAAAATGAGGAAATGGATTTGTAGAATCATTAAGTTATTTTAAAGCAGAAGACATAAAAAATGAACAATGATCTCGCAGGGACTGGAACTCTGGACCTCTCGAAAACGCGTCGAGTGTGCTTCCAATTACAACACGAAGGCATGCGCAAAGGGGGGGGGAGAAAATACCTTACACAAGGTGCAGCTCGAACTAAAAGGTTGTGGGCGATAGTTCGTCACCACTAGGATTTGGTGGTTAGGTCCCCTTACCCCAGTCGCTGTGAGGGAGTATATAAGGTGATTTCTCCCTCCTTTCCGAATGCCTTTGGTATGTAGTAATTAGAAGCATCCTCGGTGCGTATTCGAGAAGTCTATCGAGTCCAGACGAGGATATTGCACATTTTATGCTTTAAAAAAAAAAAAAAAAAAAAAAAAAAAAACGAATGATTCACTTTATGTATGTATACATGTTTGTGATAGTGTGTACATACATTTTATATTTCTGTTATAAGATTTCTTTGTTAATAAAATCTACAATATTTTACATGTTTAAAAACAAAAATCGTTGTTAAATTGTTAAATAAAATTGCTGAATTTATCAAGGGCCAATACTTTTTTTTTTTTTTTTATTAGTAATAAAATTTGGGAGAAGGAGGGAAGTGTGATTTCCTGTTTAGAACTGCGTTTGAAGTTCCAAGATATATGTTTTCTCCTTACTATAAAAATTTAGACTATACAAAATGATAGTTCAAACCCAAATAAAAATTTAGCCAAAAACAAAGTTACGAGAGTTCTTTAATATGAGCCTGCGATTAGATAACTGCCTTGCGTACATTTCATATAAATCAGCTTGGAATTACGACGTCAGTATAATATCTGACATTTGAAAATGAATAACAAAAAACATGCTAAGTTATTCAGTTTAAAGACAAGGCATAGTGAAATGTGTTTCTAGGTCAAGTGTTAAAGCGTGATAAAATTTAAAAAATAGTGTAACGAAATGTTGCGGTATCCATGACTGAAGTATTATGAAATTATATGATGTACAAACATTTTTTATACGGTAATGATAATCAGTTTTAATTTTTATTCATATCATTGTGCTCGTATTGCATTTTAAGAGAGCGAGAGGAGAGATCACAAATATACAAGCTATGACAATAAAATTCGGTGAATGGGTTCATGAACGGAAGATTCTTACATAAGTCAAGAAAAACGTTTTATATTTCTTCGAGATAATATCATCTAAGGAATGCAGGTACTTTTTTTGATAACAAGCCGCTGGCGCAGTCAGCCGCCTAAAAGAGTTACTATAATAAAAGAAAAAGTATGCAATGCTTTTTAATACATATGCACGATGTCCATCACATGTAGCATTATAGTTGGGATAGTCAATAGAATTTGGTTCCGATAACCTTTAGTCATATTTTGCAGTACTGTAATGGCAAAGTAAGTCTATGAAAAGAAGGAAGGGCTCTATAGATGTAATGTAAACCAGTTTGTCTTCTACGCCGCTAGAAAGAATAGGGACAATTCGCCAAGGGATTTGGCGATGGAACCTGTTGGCGAGAATTTCCCCCATTTTTCACCTCCGCCACGTGTACAGGAAATTAAAGAAGACGGGTTAAGATGAATCGTTCTTTGACTTTTCGCGATAATTTAAACTCGAATTTTCGTGCTTTTTTGCTTTACTAGTTGAACTTGTATTATCCATATCGCAGTTTGATGTCTGATTTTATATCTGTCAATATGTAGGGTAAAAAATGGAGTCACACAGCTTTAAACTCTTGATAAACGTGACCGTCGAACTTGTTCGAACTTCCACATCAGCTGCGAGCTTTGACGCTTTTTGGCGACTGATATTTCACGCATGCGCAGTTGTGTCCCTTTTCGTTCGGAGGGAGCCACTCCTGCTGCTGCGAAGCTTTCCTTCTTAACAATACATATTCTTTGGTAATGGTCCACAGATGTGTCGACGGGGTGTCTGTCTGGGACCTCTTTACATGTTATTGCTAGCCCACACTTGGCGAACATATCCAAGATATATTTCTGTGGAATCAGAATCCTTTCTTGGCCTCAAAGTATTTCAAAACTTTCTGCAGTCAAACACAAAAGAAGCATATTGTGACGTATATTGATTTCATTTCACAATATAGGTGAACCTGCTGATGAAGTACCTCTTTGGCAGCAAATTCCGTTAAACTGCATTTGACATTTCTATGTTTACTTCTTCATTGCTAACAAAAGCAGCTGTATACATTTTAATACAAACAGTTCTGGATACATCACGCGTATATCATACTAAGCATAACAATACGATAATTTTTCAATAAATAGTTTGATTACTCTCTGATATTAACCTCTTCTTCATTTCTGGCTCCTCCTTTCCCGTACAACATTTCATCAGATCGAAAAGGTTTTCTGGAACTGCGAATTATTTTGATACAAAATGTACAATATACATATTAAAAATAAGCAAAGAGTTGAAATTACAGATACATAATTAATGCATTGATTTGAAGGCAAATAAAGTTCTTTTCTATGACGCAATACAAAACTCCTTATTCTCGGGTTTTTTTTTTTTTTTTTTTTTAATGATTTCTTTTAGTATTTTATGTATATTTCTTTCAATACTTTTGAAACCTAATTGCCCATTTCTTATTTTAATAGTTTAAATGGAAGAAACATATTTCAGCATACAATTTTACATTAGGCTACAATTTAGCGTCGATTGGTAGAGATTTTCAATAAATTTGTATCAATTTTAAGTGCAAACTGACATTGATCCTTCATTTTCGGAAGTGAATCCCTTCCTCCTGAAGGAGGACGTAAGGATTCCTTTCCCCCCTTCTCTATTCCTCTCTTTCTGATTATAAATATAAAAAATTTAACTGCATATTTTGATACATATGTATAATGTGGATAGTTTATAATTTATTCTATCCATTTACATAATCTTATCAATGTTAATATGAAATTAATTATATTCATTTTGAAAATTAAATACTTTACCTAGTTTGTTTCTAATCAATAAAAGCCTCTCGCAATTTTATTAGAAACAGATTTCAAATAATAATTTAATTATGAATATTTTACCAAAGAACTTTAAATATATCATTTTATTCTTACATTTTGATGTTTATAACTCGAGCTGTAATACATTTTCCCAAATCTCATATTGATAATTAATTAAGTCACTAGATGGCGCCAGTACACAAGTTACATGAAAATAAGGTATTCCATTTACACTGGCAGTAAAATATTTAAATTTTTTTAATCATTTCAGTTCATGGTTAAGAAATCGAAGCACTTCGTAGAATTTTATCTAATGTTGGAAATTTTGCAGAGCTGTTTAAAGTAAAGTGCCATATCGATATTAATTCTATTTTTCTGAGGAACTTGGATACCAAACCTGTTTGTACGTAAAAAGAAATGTAAAAATGAATAACAAACAATGAAAACAGTAAATTCTTTATATCTAGCATCGCATGCAATCGCTAATGAGAAAAAAAAAAAAAAAAAAAAAACTAAATCTCTCATTCTACCCATACAAATGTAACCGTTGCATTTCAATTCGGAACGGAACTCTGTACCTAAATTAGCAATAGGAATAAAATTTTAAAAATAAAGTGTGATCTCCATAGCTATCTTTCTACCTAATGAAGAATTTGTATATCTGTGTATATACGTACATGTGTATGTATTATGTTCCTCGCATCGCCGAAAAACGGCCGCTCCTAGAAACATCAAATTTCGAACGCGTATTGGCTTCCACTAGAATATGTTCACCTCGAAGCTCAAATTTTGAAATTCGAATTTTTCTTAAAACTTATTTAATATTTTGCTTGAATATGATAATACTTTTTAAAGAAAATCGGCGATTGGGAAGCAATGCTTCACTACTCTGCAAAGAATAAGATACTAATATTTCAAATTGAATCATAACAGTCAGTATTTATATATAACAGTGAGTATTTAAAAGAAATATGTTGTCATTTGAGAAAGCGAAGAAAAGTGTTGCCACTGCGCAATATAAAATACTTTAATCTTCTACGCGCCAGCGTGTTACCATTTGGTAAAGCTTAAGATGTTTAATTTTTCTCTTTCATATTTAATCTATATTATTCTAGTTACTGATTAACAAACTAAGTGATTTAAAAGCAGTAAACGCAGTTCTTAAGCTCTATTGTTATTATTTACTATCTGGATCCATGAAGTGACACTAGCTGCACTCATTAAAATTGTTATACATATTTTTTAAATTTTCTATAATCGCTATTTTAGGCATCTCGCCGTGGAAACGGTTACTAAAGTATAAAACAATGTATTATAAACATGAAAACGTTCAAACCAGTTCCTGATATGCTAATAAATTATCATAGATATCTATATAAGCAGATCTGTACCATAGAAATATTTAGAAAAATTCAGCTTTCGAATGTAATTAAAATTTATTTATTTTTATTTCACATTTATCTAAATGCTTTTTTTTTTTTTTTTTTTTTTTTTTAATATATCGACAGTTTTCAGAAAGAGAGCATGAGAAAAATTCATAAAATTCTCAAACTCTGATCTGCTAAGATATATTCTGAGTGAAATAACTAAATTAATGTTTCAAATTATATATATATATATATATATGCAATATTTATCTTTCAAATTTTATATATATATACAATTTGAACTACAGCATATACATACAATTTGAAATATATATATGCAATATTTACCTTTCAAATTGTATATATCAATTCAAATATATATATATAGTTTGAACATGCAGCATATACAGCTTATATATATATATGCTGTTTGAATACAGATATTTCCTTGGTACGTTTTCCTACTACAAACACTCCAGTTCCTTTCTGACGACTTAATTAAAATTTTCTTCCATCTTTCGATAAGATTTGATTCTTATAAGTACTCCCATTTCTGCTCGTATCAGAAATGGAAGTTTTCCTTTTACTGATAGCGTAGTAGTAGATGTCCAAGGCGCAGAGCTTGGAGGAGTTTAGGAATCAGAGTATAACTATTGCCAGAAAACGTTAAAGGATCTACAGCGATCTTGACACACGAATGCAAACGTATATAAATACAGAAAACGATATTTTATTATTACAAAGCTAAGATTATTTCATAAATCTTATTTTAGTATTTGCTACAAAATATAAAATTTAGGAGAGAAAAATTACTGAATAATCATCTAATTATTAAAGCTCGGTTGGAAACATATCCCGCTATTTAAAATAAATTAAAGTCTCTAGTGTTTCTCAAGAAATATGTAGTCTGTGTACGTATATGCTATATGCTTACCATCCAAGGCCAAGTATAGTTAGTTTCTGATCCTCCAAGAACGAAGCCTTCAAATATTTTTCTCAGACTAGTATTGTCATATCCCTCATATCTTATTCCACAACCTGATGAGTAAATTATGAAAAATGATAAATGATAGAGCAAAAGCAGATTAATAATGCAACTTTCTTATAACCGAATACAGTTTTACTTTTTTCATCATTCTTTTGGGAAAACGATACTCATTTTTCCCGTAAATGGAATCGAAACATTTGGAAAGTAATTATTAATCTTATATGACTGGAAGAAGAACTGGGATTTCTTGACGGAAATGAAAACATATAGATTTATACATTTAAAATAAAAGAACGCTAAAAATGATTTTATAAAATAAGTTTCAAACACAATTTTATAAAATAAGTGTTTATTTAAGTATTTAATGAACTTATTCATTAAATATCTAAATTTAAATTTTCATTAAATATTCATAAAATATTTAATGAACTAAAAGAAAAAACAATTCATCATATAGCTTCATGAGAGCAAAATATTAAATAATGTTATTTACAAAATTCATCTACAATTTTATATATCACGAATAATAAACGGAGACATCCTTGATAAATTTATCATCATACTGACTGATACTTTTGGTAATGTAATTCGACTATTAGATTTCATTGCTTTGGCACTGATGCTTTTATTATTCGTAATATGAAATTGTAGAGAAATTTTTGCAAAGAGAATTGTTTAATCTCCTGTTCTTATGAAACTATATGATAGATTAAAAGCAGTAAAATTCTGAGAGCTTCAGTTTGTCTATTAAAGGAAGATATGGGGGAAAAATAGCTTCAGCGTTATATTTAATTAATGTATCATATTCTGACGTGGTTAAGCCGCACTTTTTTTCGCAAAAAAATTAGATGAAAATTAGGGGTGCACCTATGCGCGATTGATTAGAAACAGATACATACAAACATGTGCAAACATAGCAGCGCATATTTAACGATTGGATATAAAATCTATTATTGGTAAGCATTACATGGGATTTTTTTTTAATATTATTATTATTTTATATATATATACAGGTCTTTTGAACGAAAATAGCCGACAAATGGATTCAGCTACGAGGTGCAATTTAAACTGCAATCCGACTCTCTGATGAAAACTGGAACGAGCTCTAGTACTTGCTTTTGACGTGAATGAATCCAACGTCCGGCGGTGGGAAAAGCGTGAAGTGTGGAACATGCAGTGCTCTAAAGGCAAGTGGCCTCAAACTGGCGGCTCACGGTCCCCGAAACAATTTTATGCGGCCCTCGATTACATTTTTCATAAACTAACTAGGATTTTATGATAAAAATTTGAAAGAAAAGTTTAAGATATTTATCGTTTCGAGTCTATTTTACGTTATTTTCCATTACCAATAACGAACGTCAGTAATGCCATAGAAAATATAGAAATGGAGATAAATAATTTACACTATGATATAAATTGTATTTAAAGATTTAGAGATACAGATTTGATTAACTTTTATGAGTACACGTCAAAAGATATATATCCTCGATTACGAATTTTTGCAATTGAAATAATGGCCTTATTTGTAAGTACATTCACACGTGAACTTTTTCTTTTCTGTAGTTGAAAATTAAGAAATCTAAGGAAAAAAACCAGACTGCCAATAGAGGTGATGGAGATACTTTCTAGCAATTTTTCAAGTTACAAATTTTATAAAAATCGAAACGGCATGATATGTACTAAAAACAGAGAAGTTTATAATAATTTACATGAAAATACGTATTTTTGATATGTATTATAGAAAAACGTATTAAATAAAAGAAAGAGGATAGGTAGACACTATTTATTCTCAAGTTTTGTCCCTTTTATGAAGTTTTCATGTATTTCTTTTTAATTTAAGTTATTCAGTGGTTATTTCAAAATATTCCAATTAATTGAATGAATGTCAATCTAAAAATTTCAATATTTATACTGCTGCCAATATGTTTGAATTATAAATTGTGACCAACAGAAATTTATTGCAGATACCAACCAAACTTTTGATTTCAAGGCAGTATGTATAATTTGAATTTTTTCTTTGCATCATTTTTATATGTATGCTTTAACAAATGTCTTGTGAATTTTTTAAAATTTAGTTAAGAAATTTGTTTTGTTAGAAAAACTCTCTCTCTTTTCTATTTGTTCATTTTTATTTATCCATTTATTTTTTATTGCACGCCATTATTTATTCACTTATATTTTACAGCGAAATGACTACTTTCCGATTTTGGATCTACTTTCCGATTTTGGATCTACTTTCAGATTGTGGATCTACTTTCAGATTTTGGCCTGCGTGCAATTTGAATTTGAGACTACTTCGCTAGGCGACTCGGAGAATACTGTTGGATACCGATACCAAAGATAGTGATTCTGGTAGTACTTTCGGTACCACTACAGTAGTAAACTACTGCAGTAGTAATTACTGCAAACAGAAGTAAACTACTTGTAGTGGTACCGAAATTGACAGTGAATATGAGATGTTTTATGCAGAAACATGTTCCTTTTGATCGATAATAAAAATTTTGACTCAATTTGTGGTAAAATCTGTTTTCAATTTAGCTGCTTTCATACCTCCAAAACAAAAAAAATATTCTAGGTCCTTGAGAATAATTTTATTTGAGTAAAATTTAGAAAGCCTAGTAACATCGCTACTCTTAAGCTCTAAAATAAAACACTTCTCACTGCGAAAGCTGCAATAAAATGGTACTAATGATACTCAGAAAATTGCTAAAACAAGACAAGAGGAAACTTTAACAGGCAAAATGTGTGTAAGTGCAGAAGAGAGGAAGCTATATGTTTTGGCTGCTAATAGTCGTAGCAGCTAGTGATATTTTTTATAGCCATCGGGGCGAGAGGGGTGAACTAAGATGAGCTCGATTCTGAGAAGTGACCTGTTACTTGACAATAGGCATAAGGTTCTGAAGCTATCAAGCTATCACTTCTCTCCCCTTTTGTTACAGTCGTAAGGGAAATGTATACACGTCATGGGAAACAAAAAGAAGACAATTTGGATCATCTATATCGTGTGTATCATATGCATGTGGATCTTCTATATGCGCATGTGAATCATCACATACATATTGTCATGATCACCGTTAGAATATTTATTCAGTGGCTGTTTTACATTTGGCTGTTCTTCGAAGGATTCTTTTTCTGCCCTGGAACCAAGGGTACTGAATCCGAGGATAACTGAAACCTTGGATACTGGGGTACAACCGTATGTAACATTTATTCGATTTTGAAATTTTTATTACTTAATTTTTATTTTATTTAGAAACGTTTTTTCTTCTTAACTTTTATTATAGATAAGCTTAAAAGATAAAAGGTTTAAATTAAGCAATTAAAATCATCCTTAAATTGTTCAAAATGGTAATGAACTCTAGTAAGATTAAATGGGTACTTTTCTTAACTCTGGTAAATTTAAAAATGCATAAATATTCAAAATTTTGGATAATTTTACATAAAATTATTATCCAAAATATTACAAAGGAAAATTATCTCAAATGCAAAAGCCGCCTCTCCAATTCATATGTCGGAAAATCGCCAAATTTCCGTTCAGAAATGCCAATAACAATCATTAAAAAATTAAGAGTTGATTTAAAATAAAAGGTTACAATTAACCAATAAATGCTGAACAAAAAGAAAATAAATCGCATCACTTACCAACCCTTGACGAAGACGTGAAACTTTCTACTGTGGATTGACTATTTTGTGGCAAAACATCAGTATTCGTCTCTGACGTTTTTACTGCATCTGGAATTACAGGATACCTAAGTCTTGGAGGCGATGCCATTGACGCTCTATCGGGTAATACAGTAGCTTCATCAGCTGCATAATCCAATTCCGTACTTGGCAGTATATCATATGCAGCGGGGACTTTTGTTGATGTCGTTGAGAGGCTTAATAATTCTTCAGCAGTTTTATGATGTGGAATCACTGTGGCTCTTTTGCTCTTGCCTAATTCAGAGTGAGCGCTGAAAATTTTAGAAGGCTGTGTTGTTGTGGACAAGGATTCCAGTACTGGAATCAGTACACTTTCGAGAAAACTTTTTATGGGCTCCAGAATAGAATGCAGCGAGGAAGTATTTTCAGAAGAATAATTGACAGACATATTTTCAATTAACGTACTCGGTATACTTCCATCCTGTAGCCCATCAGAACAACATAGCATGTCATATAATCTATTGCGATTGCATTTTACTGCAGTCCATGCTGGTGAGTTGTTAAAATAACACCGCAAGTAAGGTTCACAAATTGTTTCCATTCCTGCAACTGTGTGACAATTTCTGTCTGCTTGGGTGTGCTCGGGTTTTTTTGACGAAGAATTAAAAATGACCACTTCCAGCGAATCTGAAAATGCAATAAATCATTTTAATTGAACACTATATAGTGTCAACTACTTAAATACAGTTTAATCAAAAAATATACCTGACATTTAATTTTATTAGTAGCGTACATGGGGCAAGCAGAAAAAAAAAATTATTGCGAAACTAAATATGAATGTTCTATTTTTTTCCTTTTACCATATAATAAATGTACTTCAGTATATCTTCTGCCCTAGTTCTTCTGAAATTATCGAGGCACTAATCCGTTTCCATCTATGTATACTCGATCATAACTGATGCTATTGTATTCAGGACTGGCTCCAGTACTTTTGGCGTTCAAAGCGATAAGTGCAGTTAGCGCCCGTACAGATTAAGCATAAAATTAATTCTTTATTTTAATGAATTTAAAGGGACCGGAAATTTTGTTTGCTACGTTTTGTTTAATAATTAAAATATATTGCCCCACAAAAGATTGTAAAATTTAGTTGATGACTTCAAAAATAAAAGTAAATAAATAAATGAAATAAAAGCAATCATTTTAGCATTGTTGCCTCTACCAAAAGAAGTAAGTAATACCTCTAATTAGAATATTAAAATGTGTTATGGGCTCATTACGAATATTATTACCTTCAGCTTTATTTTCTCTTCATTCTTGCCAGCTCCGTATAATAATAATTTTACAAGATAAATTATTTAGCTGAGTCTAAGAACTTGAACAGAATTAGGGAACCAATTCAAGTTCTTTAACTCAGTAATCATTGAGAACACTATGTACTCTTTATGCTTATTGCGGGATAATGCTGCTGCGGGCTTTTGTTTCCAAGAATTGTTTTTACAATTGTTTCGCACATAGTCTTGTCTTAGAGAAAGGTGAAGGTAATCTATATGTGTTCTTGATTACCCCTAATAGCCTAAGTATGAAGGATTTTAAAAAGTTAACAATTTTCTAAGACATGCAGATATTCTTCAAATTTTTTGAAAAATAAATATTAAAAACAATTTAATCCAAACAGCGATGAAATTTGTTATGTCCGATTTCTCCTGGCTACTATCCTGACTCGAGATCGAATCTCGGAATAAAACATGGATGCTTTTAAGCATATAGTATTTGTGCAGCAGGGTGTACTCAATATACATGGCGAGCCGAAAGTTCATTTAAATGAGTTGGTGATAGGGAAAGTGAGGAGGAAGACCTTCGGAATAATTTTTGGACTCATTCTAACAAAATTGGGAGGGAGCTGGCTAAATAGTAATGTCACCTATGCAATGCCCATAGCCCATGCCAACGACAGACGTAATCTTGAGCTCCTTGCCAAGATAAAACTCGTAGACTTGTTCTAATTAGGCCGCGCAAGTGAGATAAGGTATAACATATCCGATAATCGTAAGTTTGGAAGTTCGCTTTAGCCAACGGGATGAAAGTGTTTGTTCATTATAGCCGAGGTTTCGTTATATCGGTGTTTGGCTCATAAGTTCAAGGTCATCAAACATCCTTTTCAGAAGTCCACCTCTATGAACAATTTTGCTGGCGCCTTCTGAAATCGGGCATTCTAGGCGGCTACCAGTATCGCCTACTCGTATACTTGCAACCTTCCTTGATTGTAGCCAAGACAGTAAGTGATCATTTGGCATCATTGTCACATAATTTCGTTAAAGGTTTTTTGAATAATTATAAAAAAAGTTTTAATTCTGCGTACCATAACATACATATTGAGCTTTTTTCCCGGTCATCTTTTTCATGTGAACTGACAGATTAAAGGGAGTGGAGACATTAATGCTGAGCAAAGCTTCTAGAATGTCAATTTTAACCTCTCTGGCCTACAGTCAGAACTTGGACATTTTGAAATTATTTTGTGGCAAAAGCAAAGAAAATTGATTTGCGATAAAGTATATATAATTATTTAAATCCGATTCGTCTTTTTTTGATGCCTTGTATTATAGCCAACATTTTAGCATATATAATTAACATTTATAAAATTTAAAATAATAGTTATCTAATACATGTAACATTATAAATCATTCCTTATTATTCATGGAAATGATATTATATTATGAAAATATTCTTCCTCTTATATTATTATATGAAACATAATTTAATATTGTTTGTCAAGACATTTCACAAAATATGAGAAGTTATTACAAAATATAAAGATAAATATTTGAAATTAAAACTTTATAACTGCTTCGAACTAATGCAAATTCAATTATATAAAGAATAAGTTGAAAAATACAAGTGATGTCTTCGACAACCTTCTTACACCAATTAAAGAATTTATTCATATTTCTAAAGGGCCATACGAAGAATGAATACTCTCTTTAATGAAAACTTTTATCTTCATAAGACTTCTTTCTTCCTTATAGTTATTACAATTTCGTTAATTACAGAATGTTTATCAAAATAAGGCAAAAATTATTACTGGACAATTTTACCTGAGTTCCTTTCTGTGGAGGCAGCTCTTGCGTCAGAAGTGACATTTATGAAGAAAAACACGAAAAGCAACCAACACCTTTCGCAGAAAATAAAAACCAATTAGTGTGAGATATTAATCAGAAACTGTATTTTGTAGGCTGTCATATTGTTCATAATACAAATGAAACAATATTCTTTAAGCTACCAAAAACAATGAAATAAAATTCGAATTTGAAAGAATGGTTCAATTATTATTATGTGCAGTTATGGAATTTTTTTCGTTATTTTTCACTTTCACTGTGTCCTAATAATTTCAAACAATAAATTACCTAGCTCAGTTTCGGAACTTGAATGGAATCAGAAAATCCGTTCCAGTTCTTTGACTCATGTCATTACAAAGCGGTAATTTATTTCTGTTAACTTTTCATTAGTGGAGAAATGTATTATGATTATAAATCTGCTGTAGTTTCACAAGTTGATCTTTACTGCTCCTTCACATTTTCGTTTTCAGAAACGTTCAGAAAAATGACACATTTCGCTTTCCAAATTCGAATTTTCACGCTGAAAAACAAGCAAAGTGTAAGAAATACCCAAAATGTTTCCTGAAAAAGTCTATTTTTCGATATATCACTGAAGATATTAACACACCAAAAGAAGAAAAAAGGCTTGAAATTAATTCCAGAATTTATTTCAAATTCCACTAAAAATATAAAATACAGCCCTGTTGACAATTCATTTCAGGACACTAATGAATTACAAATATTAGTTATTATGAAAGCAGTGTATTTATATTTAGTTTTTAATCTCATTTTACGTTATGTGTCTGTTAAAAAAAGTCTGATATGGACACCCGTTTGATTTCCTTGTTCGCCCTATTAAACTATACACAGTTTTTTGCTGCATTTCATTTAAACTCACTTCCTCGAATTTCAGTAGAGATATATTTCTCATTCAATTAATTCAGTTCTCACTTCGAAAAAGGCAAAAATACATAAAAAATCAAAAAATCTTCATTAAAATTGTAAAATACAGAAAAACATAAAGCACCAAATACACCTAAAAACAGTTTAAAAAACAGTTTTTACGATTAAAATTAAGACTTTCTGCTCAAAACCAAGCAATTCAGCCAGCAGGCAGGAAGACAAACTTTTCGCTGAACAAAACTGAAAGCTTACTTTGGGTCACACTCGGTAAAAGGACACTGAAGTTGGTGCACAAATTAACTTAATTCGCTATATTGCTAAGAATTTCAATCGTAAATAAATTGTGGTTTCGTTCGGCTTAGTACCACTTAAGCAACTGTTGGTAATTCTACAACTGTCGCATGCAGATTATCTAAAAACAATAACTGGAAACTAAGAACAACATAATTCAATGAATTTTAGAGCAAAAAATTCACAATTTACCAGCTTATACGAATAAAATATTGGTTACAGAGTGAGCACACACATATATATATATGTTTGGCTCTGCCGATTGCAACCCCAAAGGGTGGGTCCCAAAACTTGCATGTTATAGCAGTTCCATATACAAAATTTCAATTTTCTGAATTTTTGAGTTATGTGCGATAAATACATATGTAAGTACAGAAGTCACGGAAAAAGTGTGCTCTGAATCCATTTTACAATCTACGTTAGAAAAAAGAATCCTTTATTCTGTCCGCATGTAGTGTTGTCACGCAAAAACATCTTTCAAATGCGATCAGAGAGCAGTAATAAATTCGAGAGCGGTTGAAATGGATACTTTCGGCTATAATGGCTATAAATCAGCTCAGCTATGATAACGAGTTAAATATAAGATTTTATACAAAGTTTTATATAAAGTTTTTATACTCTCATCCTCAATTTTACAATTTTAACGTCCATTATTGAACTCTGCCAATTTACATTTCTGGTGAATTTGATGGTAAAGGCAGAACAACAGGAAAGATTTAACATAAAAAAACGACATATCAACTAAAATAAACTTTACAAAATTAGCTATTAATTTCACATATTCTGGTCACATAACAAAGGCTTAAAACCAGGCAATAAAGCTATGCAATTATAAAATGTGCGTTCTCTTTAACAAGCACTGTATAACAGAACAAAGGTCTAAAGTGGAAATATATGCAAGCAGTTGAAAAAAGAGTAATGATTTACGGAGTCATGATGCAGCAGAAAATAGAAGAGCGTCTGATTCTAGAATGGATATATAATTAATATGTAACGCCCGATTCTAAAGTTTAATTTATACGAAAATATATCTGTATTTTTGTTTTTACTTGATTAATACTGGTTCTCATGAGAAATTCTATTCAATTTCTTTATTATCTTCACATGGCTTAATTTAAAATACTTAAAATGCAGAAAAGAAAATTAAGATGGCATTGTATTTAACACTAATTTTACTTGAAGAATTTCATGTGATGTCCATTTAATTTTTTTTCCATCACTCTGACTAATGCATAACTTGACATATACAAAACTTTAAAACAAAAATAAATCTATAAGATAAGATAAAAACTGTAACTATAACTATAGCATAAACTATAAGATAAAAAATAACTATTAGATAAAATTAAACTTATACGATTTTAAGGTATTCATATTTAAAATCAAGAAATATCTATCTTTACTATATCATTAAAAATTATTTATTTTATTATTCAACGAATTTAAAAGAATACACATTATTTCTAGTTAAAAAAAGCATACGTATTTTGTCCTCGTTAAAATATTTAATTCTGGCTTTAGGAAAAGATAACAACAATCGGAACTTTTTATTCCTCATACAAAAACGAAGTAAAATGCACATACCTTATATTACGCATAGTCTTCGAAGCTAGAAAGGAACTGAAGAAAACATTCGAACAATCAATTATCAGCTAAGTAGTATTTACTTACCAACCCAACGTAAATAAATGGAGAGTGACGAATTCGAAATTCACGAGTAATCTACGCAGTTTAGACTGCACCGAATAATTGTGGAAACCTACTGAGAATAAAAAAATTTTACAACCCTTCTCAGTTGCAATCTTTATTATATTTAAAATTCAGCATCTTTATTTAATCAAATATTATCGCCCTGTATTACATTTAAAGAAATTAAATAATGAAGAATCTGCACAAATGTATGTATGTTTTTCGCATTGTGATAAAACAACGGTACCTAGACCCATCAAATTTTGAATAACGTACGTCTCCACCAGAATATGGGCATCTGGAAACCGAAATTTTGAATTTTGAATTTGTTTTATTATTTATTTCATATTTTGTAAAGCATTCATGAGTTTTTGATTAAAAAACACAACAATTTCAAAACGAGCAATGGCAGCACTGTAGGGGGGGAGGATGAAACATTTTTATCTTCAGCGCGCGAGACTGTAAATCGGAAATTCTAAAGATATGCTCTTTATAAATTATTTTATCATATTGTTGTTGAATTGAATTTTGTGGTTTAAATGCGAAGAACATGGTATTTAATAAATAAAGTTAACATACAAAATGTTTAAAAAAAGTGCTGCTTTGGACGTAATATAAAATCTGGAAATCTTTTAGATTTTGTTTTTAGTTTGCTTACAACCATACACTCATCGCTTAATTTTTCTCCGCATACAACACATACAAGAAATTTACGACTTCCAGAATCAGTAAATCTAAAACCGAAGTTTATATAAGTTTTCTTATATCTGTGCACAGTGGCAGACGACCAAATTATCTGCGCAATGGTATGGTAGCACTTAACGATTAATAAAGCTAGCATAATAAAGATGTTTTGAAGTGCAAAATAATTATTGTCATTGGCTGCCTCATAACCTACAGCATATGAACTAGCTAGTATTATAACTGAATGAGAACAGAGGAGTACAATTTCATGAAAGATCTGTAGATGACAGCATAATAATTTGCTTGGTGATATTATACGGCAGATCAAGTGATAGAAATAAAACACGAAATTTATTATAAATATCGTCTTATTAAAAGTAAAATTTAAGAAAAAAATCGGTGATAATATATTTCCTTTTACAATTAAATATGGTGGAAAAGGTAGCCTGGCAATCAATTAGTGAGAATTGTACAGAAATAACAATTAATTGGTTGAGCAAAATTAGATTCTTCAGGGAAAATTTTGAGATATGCTCTATCTGAAGTTTAAACATTAGTACATTATCACGTATTAAAAACTAAATTTATTATAATCAGGAAATTATTTTATAAAAGTACAGAAAACGTAAAGAGTAATTAAGACAAAAAAATTGGAAAGCATATTATTTCAGGAAACATGAAATCACATTTAAGGAAAGTTTTATTCCTGCACGAATTCCTGTGTATGACTAGTGCTGCCATCTATTGGAACATTTAACAACTATACAGTCTACATTACAAAGAAACCGCTAGATGGCAACACTAGCAAATTTCAAACCTGAATGTTCCCACAATCTTAACTAGGTAAATCCTTGAATTAATCACTCTTTTCTTCATTACCTTTCTCCCCCTTTTTTTTATTTCCATTGCAGATAAAATGTTTACTTTAACAAACCCGCAATGGAAAATATTTCTAACTTCCTTTAGCATTCTTTTAGCATTTTTGTTTTAAACTTTTAAAAATTAACTTAAAATTGAATGTAACTCAGTATCAAACACTAAAGCTAAAATTTACAATAAAAATAATTATTGTCTTCGAAAAGTTAATTTTGGGTTTATTCTATTTCAGATACTTTCTTATTTCATTCAAAACGTTTATTACCACCTGCGAACTTACATATATATATATATAGATAGATAGATAGATAAGAAAGGTAATGTTTTCTGTCCACAGGTTTTCCGTACACATAGTATCAAACTTATAAATATTTCTATTTTCCATATTTATGCTTTCTACATTCATATTAGATTCTGGGTAAAACTGGACGACCGGAAGTGATACTTTACTTGAAGCCCATAACCGTTTTCAGTAATCAACATAGAACTTTGTTGCATAAACCATAATATATTCTTGCCGTTAAACCATAATCGTTTGCTGAAACATAAATGTTCTGTGATAAACGTTCAGATCAAAATGAATTTAGATTGATTCTAACGAATTGTTAATATGATAGAAATAACACAGAA